CTGTTAATCACTTGAAAAATAGTTTAATGCTTAATTAACTAATGACTACCTTATCTTGGTAACGCCTCTTCGTAGTTTGACCAGCACATTAGAGTTGGTAGGCATTTGTTCTCCGTCGTCGTCAACGATTTCTTCTTCTGGTGCCTGTGCTGAAAGACCAACTCGCAGGATATCCTGAACTACTAACTTAAGGACGTGTCCAACACAAGGGATATGATGGATGTCTTTGCGGAATGGCCTTGGTTTTATAAGTTGTTGGTGAGCACATAGTTTTTTATGAGTATCTTGGCAAAGCAGCATAATCCCAGTAACTTACCAATCTTTCTCTTTCGCGCGTCGTTCGATTACGGTCATCATCTTGGTCATATTCGATGCGTTGTCACTCGTAATTGTGAAAAGCCTCGAACAAAGATCGAACTCATCCAAGACTTTCAAGAAGGCGTCGGCAAGGTTCTCTCCAGTATGTGGACCTTCCAAAGGCTGGAACCCTAGGCGAACTTCTTACAGAGTCCACGTCGATCTGCACATCCAGTGTGCTGTCACACCAAGAAATTCTTGCCGGAATGGGCTGGTCTAGCTGTCGACGGTGCAAGAAATTTTTGGCACGCTCTTGAGCAAGGCGGCGGTTTGTTCTTTGGCTCTGACGTATTCTTCGTCCAGCTATTTCCAGTGAAAGTTAAGTATATGTCTGAATCCTTGTTTAACAAAACATGAAACGAAGTTTACCTTTCTCGACATACTGTCAGCATTCAAAAGCTTGACGGATTCTTGCGTAGGTACTGATTGTGCCATGTAGAACAACTCCTGCAATTCTTCGCTTTCGGCCAAAGTAAATGGGAGCTTGCTCTTGACCAAAAATTTGATGAATTGTCGTTGGAAGGCGCCCTTTTCAAACGTACGCTTACGCTTAAATTCGACATGCTGGTCCATTGGGCCGGCTTGGCGCTTGTTCCCCTGAACGTGCGGACCAGTTGTTTGCGTGATTCGATGGACATTCTTCAGGTGCTTCACAAGCCCAGACGTATTACCTTGCTTTGCGTCGTACACCTTGTTGCAACCAGGCCGCTGGCACTTGATTTTCGGTTGACTGTTGATAGAGACGCGTTTGCCGTATTCATGAGTGAGAACCCAGCTGCTTACTGACTGCTTTTCTTTACCGCTCGTGTCAATGTTCGCGCCGTCACCAGCAAGCTGTGTGATTTCTTGGTGGTCGATCATGGAAGCGGAATCATCGAAGCACTCTTCATCAGTGTCCATTACATGTGAACCGACTGACGCCATGGAGACGTTGGATTGATTACGGGCTAGGGAAGGAGGAACAAAACTTGATAACGAACGACTTGTGTTGGATAAGGACGAATTACGGCTGGACTCTCTCTATAAAATGGTACTATCATCAGCTGGTTGCAGGTGATATTGCATATGATGGAGTATCCTAGATTAATCTTACGCGATCAGAAAGAGCACCACGAGCGTCGTCAGAGCTGGAGCCAACTGAGTAGTTTGGGTAGGTCATTGCGTTGGATGTGATATAAAAAGGTACGGATATAGAGTAGAATGGTTCAAGCTGTATGTAAGTAAATAGTTGAGTTATTTTGCCCAAAAATAAAGTTGTTGCTTTTATACTTTCCATGACGCGTTGAGGATAATGATACCAAACGGCAGCTTCTCTTCAAATAGTGCTAAGTAATACCTCGCCTGTCATTTCGTAAAAGGGATTTTTAGAAGTCAGCAGCATGCTGAGCTGTACCACTGCTGAGTGCGCGATTTTTGCTTTCAGTGTTCTTCCTTTAATCGTTCGTGTCCATTCGTTACTAGCAGTATAAGTATAATTAGCACTGCTGAGCACGCAGCATTTAATGCTGCGAACCAAACCAAAGGCACGTCAAAATTTTCTTCTCAGCAATCTGTACACACGTCATTACACAATTGATACAGCAATCTGTTTTCCAGCAATCTCTGAAATCCCCCCACCAGATCAGCGATTAGAACACATTTCATACTTTAATTCAAAAATCAACCACGCACAGTCATACTGTATATCCACAATTGAAATAAAACACATTTTCTATTCACAAATTTCGCTATGCACTACAATAATTACGCCTTCCCTTCGATTCACGCGATTATCATGGTAATCTTGTGTAATTCCATCCCTCTTGAAATTGCAGTTGAAGAACTCGGTTCTAATCTCGGTTCTCGGGTCGGTTCTCGGGCCGGGTCGAGTCGGTTCTGATGTACATTGTGCTCGGGACGGTTCTGGCAGAGAACCGTCCCGGCCCGGCCCGTGAGGACCCTTAGTTCGGACCATGCTATTACTTTTTTCGTCCACATCTCCTAGTAGTAGTAAGAGATATTGAGCAAAAAAAGACGATTGACCGTCAAAACAGCATAAAATAAATACTTTCCATATTATAAATGCCTACCGAATGTCAGGCTATATAAATAGGCAGGATAAAGAAGTAATAAATGCTAATTATCATCGAAATCTATCCCTTTCTTATTTTATCACATCAACTTCGTTTATCTTCTTTTATTATCATGAGCGACAATTTTATTATTTAGTGTCCTGCTACGCAAGGTTTTAATAGAAGAAACGGTAGTCAGCTTGTACGATCAACACCTCCTGTCACCCAACAGCAAGAACCAGAAACACAAGGTTTTAACACAAGAAACGGTAGTCAACCTGTACGACCAATGCCTCCTGTCACACAACAGCAAGAACCAGAAACGGTTGAAGCCAGTAAAGGTTCTGACCTCGATACAGTAGGGGGACCGGTTGAGGTTACAGGATTTTTCATCTCCTAGCGGACGTTTGAACTTTTATTTAGGCAGAAGGGATTTAATTTTAGGCAGAGTGGACATGAATGTTAATCTGAGTGGACATGAATAAAAGTTAATCTGGACATGAATAATAATTGATCTAGACATGAATGAAAATCAAGCTGGACATGAATGAAAATCAAGCTGGACATGAATGAAAATCGAGCTGGATATGAATACAAATTGACCTGGACATGAATGAAAATCGATCTAGATATGAATGAAAATCGAGCTGGACATGAATATAAATTGACCTGGACATGAATAAAGATCGATCTGGACATGAATATAAATTGACCTGGACATGAATATAAATCGAGCTGGACATGAGTAAAATCAATCTGGACAAAATAAAAATTTCCGTTACTGCGTCGGGATCTGTTTGATCTGTCTGATCGCTGTGTACGAAGAAACTAGACACCCCATCCAGCTTTTGTCGTATGTATGGTGGAATGTCTGTGTCGGACTGGGGTACCTGTGTTGACGTCGGTCTGATTAAGACAGAGGTAGTTCGTTGCGCAATGTCGTCGAATGGAACGAAAACCTCAGAGGTGCCAGTAACGGTAGTAGAGTAAATCCTGTCCGGGTGTGTGTTTCCAAGATTCATTGTGACATACTGTGCTTCGGAAATCTGTAATCTAACGCGTGTCACATCCCTGGTCAGGGTAGTGTTAGTACTGAGTTATATCTGTGTTTTGCAAGAAAATTATTATCGAACCTGTCCGCGGTCCATGTGTCCAGGTAATACTTATCCCTGACTTTACGTATATTTGGACGAAAGAAAACAGTGAGAGATTCCGAGCTTATTACGTGTACCCCGAAAGTCCTAGAAGGTGATTCTGTGCCTTATTTATGTATTTTTTTTTACTTCAAGGCGGAGAAACAACGCTTTGTGCTGCTCGTTTGCTGTTTTGATATATAAATAGTGCAGAGTTGCAATTCAGTGTAAGAATATTGCCTTATTTCAAAACAACCGTTTCTTTTGTACTTCTTGAACATGACTCACGCATCCATTTGCACTGGTGTGCTCACAACTAACGTCGAATACAGGGTTCGCGATCGCGGTCCACGGGAGGCCTATGCCAGATTTACAATCTTGTGCGAAGGAAATTATATCAATGTAAGTGTGTTTCTGTGATGAGGAGTGTCCTGCCCGTGCTTAAACTAATGCACTCACTACTTTTTCAGGTGACGGCTGCCAAACCTGAGTGCGTTATGTATTTGACTGAAAACAACGTTGCCGAAGGGCACGCAATCGTTGTCTACGGCCCCTTCAAAATTTCCAAGTATCGGGGCAATCGAGGCACGTACCAAACAGCATTCCGCCTCAACGCTCACATTCTCCGTCTTGGCTTGCAGTGGCGAACCATCATTGGCGATTCACAGTCCGGCCCCCCTGAACCCGTTACGCGGGAGCAAGTTCTGGAACGACTTAAGGCACAAGAAGCGATTCCCACAGCTCCGATAGAGGAGCAAGTTGCTGCCTTGGAGCGGTGCTTCACCGAGGCCGTGATCGGGTACTTCGGGCGGCGTAACTGGCCCAACGCTGCCAACGTTGTCGTCCAGCTGTTTGGGCGCTTCGGCGACCGGCTCTGGGTCCCAACCAGCATGAATACCGATGAAGTTCAGGAAGTTATTGGTGGACAGTTGTCCAGGACGGAGGTGACGGGGTTATGGGAGGAGGTGACCCAACACATTATAGCATTCGTCGATGCCAGAGGTGCTGACCGTGCCAATGATCGTAATGAAGAAGAGGTGGAACAACAACAACAACAACAACAACAGCAACAGCAACAGCAACAGCATCAGCATCAACCACAACAACAACAACAGCAACAACAAAGGCAGCAACACACTGCCAGAGGTGGTCGTCAGCCACAGCGTCAACACCTGCGCTACTCGACCAGTGGCGATCACGTCACCCTAGGCACCGAGAACATGGACGAGGATCCATAAATAAATTTTTGTCCAAGTCAACACAAACATTTTTTGTCTCAAATCACCACATATACACAAAACTTTTTTGTCTATAATTTCATATACGTCCCCCACAATAAAAATACTTTTTGAGAACAATTACATATTATTAAATTGTTGCACATTCATTTTTAACAAAAGCGTGTATGTTTACAAAGTGTACCGCTATCTTGCGGGGTTATGTGTCTAGCGTCGTACATAAGATTCGAGTATTTGAGGTTTTGTCTTCCCGTGAGTTGTGCTACCACGTGTTGGGGAGTTTGCGTATTTTTGATTATTTATAGTCTGAGCTTTGTGCGAACATAACTGTTTTACGTTTTTTTCCACTTTTCAAATGCTGCCCGCCTTACTGTACTCTGATCTGTTTGTGTTGTTTGTCGGCATTAATCCTGACCTCGATAGTAGTGCCAGTGGCCATTTTTACGAAGGACGCTCGAACCATTTTTGGCATTGTTTAAATGCTACTGGTGAGGGGCTTTCTGCTGTAGATTGTGATTTTTGTTATTCCTTTTGTTGACGGATCCGTTTCAGACCTAGTGTCCTACAGAGTTTCTCCCAAAGACGATTCTAAGCTACCGCGTGACTTTGGTTTGGGTTTTACGAATATCTGTCGCAGACCGACAAGGACGGCAAAAGAGTTGCACGATAATGAAATTGTTGAAGGCTTAGAGGTGCTCAAGTTGAAAATCGAAAGATACCAGCCAGCTTTCGTGTGTTTTCTCGGCATCGACATGTACAAGAAATACATAAAGAAACGTACTATTACTCCCAGACTTCAGAAGGAAAAGTGTCGTTGGGGTGCCAGGGAACACGATGTGATAAGATTTTTTGTTATGCCGAGTACTAGTGCGCGAGTTGTTGCTTTTCAGCGGGACGACAAAGTTAAGCTGTTCCAAGAACTGTCTAAGGAAGTAGAGTTATTCCGCGTGGCTACGTATCTGTTAACGAGCTAAGCTGACCAGTGACACTTGACCTTACGGTGAAACGTTGAATTCATTCCTCTTTTAGACTATCAATAAAAAAAATCGACATAAAAAAAAGCCCCAGCCGCAGTGTTATGAAGACCGCGACTGGGGCATTACTAGGTTTCTATGTTAGCTAAGCTTAGACCTGTCTGCTTTGGACTTGGTGAGAAATGTCTGCGTGGTCCGGATAAATGTTTTGCCGTGATAAAGGGCGAAAAAAAATACCCCAGTCGCAGTCCAATAAAGACAACGACTGGGGCATTAGATATCTATAAGAAAAATGACATAAAAAAGCCCTAGCCGCAATCTAGTGAAGACTCCGACTGGGGCATTAGAGACCTCTTTTTTTGACAGGCTCAAAGGGTTGATATTAAAAGAAGCTGAAAGTCTCTCTCTTCCAAGAATCTAGACTCCGGGATATCGTATCCTGGGGTTTGAAATGTGGTCTTCTCTTTGCATAAAATACCAGGTCATAGCCGCCCATCAATAAGCACTTAGGAATAAAAATTCAAAGACACCTGAGTTTAGAGACCTCTTTTTTACATGCAGACACTCTTAACTTTGAAAGCCTATGGGTATGCTAGGGGAACATTTTGACCTGCCGAAAAATGTCTAAGTACACACCTGCCAGGCAAACGCCTAGTGTGAAACTACCAGCAGCCCTGTGTCTCTATCCAAGTTACCATAAAGCAAGCCACCCGTCAATCTTCAAGTCTAAAAAAATAAAATTTATTTTATTTTAGCAAAGCTAATACTTTTCGGGTCTTTAGACCCTTCAAGTCTTTTTTTAAATCAAAAATTTACAATTTTTGAGGCGAAGCCTTGCTTCTTACTTTTTAATTTATTGAAAAGAGTGAAACTTCATTTCACTAAAAAGAATAAATTCTTTTTTTATTTAATAAAAAGACTTAAAGGGGGATAAACCCCCGGTTTAAAGCTCCTTTTAGTCGCTAAATATAAATCAAAGATTTATATTTTCAAGGACTTAAAGAAAAAAAAATAAAATAATTATTTTTGTTTTTTAATATAAAAAGAAATTATAGATTATAAAAAATTTATTAAATTTTTTTAATCACTATATTAATATTTAACCCTCGGTGTGGAGAGTGAGTTGGAGGGCGAGCGCCCCCTGGGGAAAGTCCAGGGAGTGATCGACAACTAGGTGTATCTGTTCACACATGGGTTTTTACAGGAGAACTCCAAACTCCTTAGAGTTAGAGTGCAAGGCTGCAAGGCATTGGCCATGCCATTGAGGGTTTGCATGATTGAACACAGCCCAAACGTGGTCACCCAAATGACATTCGCTCAAGAGGAGAAAGGGAAGATGATAAAGAACCATCAGGTTCTTTGCCGTCTCCAATTTTGGTCGATAATGGTTATGTGAAGTCCTCGTATGTTGAGGAACGCAATCTTTAAGTTGTGGGTATAAAACATACGAAAAATTTATTACAACAAAAAAAGGACAAACAGAGAAAAGAAAGAAAACTATTCGTCCGAAGTAGGAGGCGGCGGCGAGTGGGACCGAGAACGGGCATGGGATCGTGGCGACTGGCTACGGCGGCAGGCGGGGGCTTTCCCCTTACCTTGCTTCTGTTTCTTGGGGGGTCGGCGGGCGGACGGGCCGGATGAGAGAGACGCGTCTGCTGCCCGACGGACAGGCGCGGCGGCAGGAGAGCGCAAACTTGGTGGTGCGGGCGCAGGAGCGCAGGCAGCAGCCGAGGCCAAAGGTTCACCTAACGGTGGCCCCTCGCGAGCAAGTTGGTCTTGAACCAACTCTTCCAGACCAGAAAGAGACGAGGGAGACAAAGGAGAACAAGGGCGAGACGAGCGACAAGACGGGGCACGCGAGGAAGAAGGCTCGGACACCGCCATTTGCGACATACGTCGGTCGAGGTCGTCAACGGGGGGAATAGGGGGGGGTTGAGGTCCCCTCATAGGGCACTTCTCCTTAGGATGGCCCTGTGCGCGGCACTTGAAGCATCCATCGAGGGGGAGCGACCGGCACTTCCGGGATCCACCACGACCAGCGATGGTGACCCGTAGGGGGATGTCCTTGAGGTCTGATCTCAACTTGATCGAAACATCCCAATTCGGGCTTAGAATACCGCAGATACGGACATTCTCAGCCTTAATAACTTTACCAAACGGTGCAAGTGAGTCGGCGAATGCCTGGACATCACAACCAGGAGGGCAAAGTTGGAGGCGGTACCGTCGAGCACCCCTCCATTTATCAACAAAAACCAAGCAATGTTGATTGATGATGAAAGGAGCGCTGAGAACAGCACGCTGTACGGATCTCGAAACAAGGAGAAGACGTACGCTGGTATCCCGAAGCTCATAACTGTGAATCGGATTACCGGGTGAACGTTGACGCACCAAATTGAACAGCCTAGCAAGGTTATTCGCATTCAGTGGTCGTGGCAGGGCAGCTTCAACAGCAAAGTGCTGACGAAGGTATGCTACCTCTGAGTTTTGAGAGTGGCCTTCTCGGGCAGCATCAGCAAAGCTGGAACTGCCAGCACCGTTACCAGTGCTTGCTACAACGACCGGGGTCGAGGTAGCCAAGTCGGACTGACTCTCGCGGTGGGACTCTGCATTTTGGTCATCGACCTCCATGCGCTCCTCACGTGGGCTTGGGGGTTTATTGAGCTCTCCCTCAGAGCTATTGGCTTTTTGATGTTTCTTTGGGCAGGTCTTTCGCGCCAGCCGGGGCCCCACCCGGTAAAGGCGCTAGTCTATGAGACTGCACAGACACAGGAACGTTTGTTTGGGGGGAGTGCCCCCATAAGCGGTGTTCAGGCTGAAAAGCCCCGCTTCTCCCTTCAAAAATTCTGCAACCCTAAGGGTCCGATAATACTTCGGGGTCGTAAGTGAGTAGTGTAACACATGGGCGAGCCAACGTGGTTCTTGCTCAGACCTACTACCAAATTGTTTATTGTAGGTTGGTAGCCTACTAGGACAAGTTTTAGCTCTAAAGGATGGTCGCAGCGAACTGGTCCCACCCGATAGGTTCCACCCAAGCACCACGATGAGGTACTTGCCCAAGCAAGGGGTATCTAATCGTCTTCGATCCCCTAACCTTAGCCCCTGATCAACGGAAGCGTCCTTGGCAAATGCTTTCGCAGTAGTTTGTCTTTGGACAATCCAAGAATTTCACCTCTAGCGTCCAAATACAAATGCCCCCGACCACTCCTATTCATCATTACTTTGGTCTTGAACCAACGAAAATAGACCAAATGTCATATTTCATTATTCCATGCTAACACATTCAAGCTTGAAAGCCTGCTTTAAACACTCTGATTTGCTCATGGTAATCGACTGGTTCGACCCCAAGTCCGAAGACAAGGGAGATCCAGTCAAAAGTCCCAGACAAAATGTACCCAACAAATGAATGCTAGGACACCTGCCTATAGACTAAAGTTCGACTGCGGGCGTTTTAACTGCAACAACTTTAGTATACGCTATTGGAGCTGGAATTACCGCGGCTGCTGGCACCAGACTTGCCCTCCAATTGTTCCTCGTTAAAGGATTTAAATTGTACTCATTCCAATTGCAAGACTATAAAAGCCCTGCATTGTTATTTATTGTCACTACCTCCCCGTGTCAGGATTGGGTAATTTGCGCGCCTGCTGCCTTCCTTGGATGTGGTAGCCGTTTCTCAGGCTCCCTCTCCGGAATCGAACCCTTATTCCCCGTTACCCGTAGAAGCCATTGCACGCCTCGATCGTGCAATCAAAAGCAATGATAGGGCAGAAAATCGAATGAACTGGCTCCAGATTAAACTGAAGACCGGCAAGGATACTATGAGCGACCAAAGACTAGGTTTTACCCCAGGTTGGTTTTTATCTAATATACGCAACGGCATACACCGTTATATACACATGTATTAGCTCCAGAATTACCGCGGTTATCCAGCAGCAAAGCAGTTAGAATGCCAAGTAGATCATAACTGATTTAATGAGCCATTCGCAGTTTCATAGTATTAATGCTAGTACTTAGACATGCATGGCTTAATCTTTGAGACAAGCATATGACTACTGGCAGGATCAACCAGGTAACTAATTTCATAAGGCTTTTCCCAAGGTCCACTACAGACCCCAGGTACCCAAGGTACCAATCTCTCGATTCCCCAGGCTCCTTACATACAAGTATGTTTGGCATACCAAATGAATTTAATTTCCCTATTGAATTCTTCAATCCCAAGGCTGTTTAGACCTTCAGACTTCCGAATCCAAGTGTTTCACCATTTGCCAGACTACAAGGTTTCTCGACTGGTTGATATGATAGTACCCAAAGGCAATATCAAATAACCAATTCGAAGGATGATCCTATGTTTTCAAGTCAATAGAGACTCGTCCACAAGGTTGCACCCAAATAGCTATGTTTAATCCTAGTCAAAGACCAGATATACACACAACCTCCAACATCCTGCCTTGAATCCCAAAAACCAAGACTAGTTGGTGTCCAAAATACCAAGTAACTCTGAGAGTACCTAGTACACAAATTGGACCAATATGCATCTGCATCTACATGGTTACTCCCTCAGTCCCCAAAGCTTCAGACCATATCCCAAACATTGGTCTGACCCTAGCAACCACATAAGCTAGGCAGGCTTTTTTGGCTCTCGCCATCACCCTTCCTCTTACATATCCGTGGGGTACTCGGCCGACCATTTTGCCCCAAAGGTAAGGGTCGGTTTTGAAAATTTGTTAGTAAACTAATGTCCGAACGCTTACATTGCACCTCGGGTTTTTTGCTTTGTGTCCCATTTGCTCAAAAGTTTGTTTTAAAATGTCTCCTTATAATGGTTGGATAGCGCTCGTTTGTGGCTACAAATACCACTTTTCAGAAACAAAAAATATGCCGTTTACAAGAATTGAGACGGTTTGAAAATTTGTTAGTAAACTGATGTCCGAACGCTTACATTGCACCTCGGGTTTTTTGCTTTGTGTCCCCATTTGCTCAAAAGTTTGTTTTAAAATGTCTCCTTATAATGGTTAAATAGCGCTCGTTCATGGCTACAATTACCACCTTTCAGAAACAAAAAATATGCCGTTTACAAGGATTGAGCTCATTTCGTTTTTCGTAAGGATCCCTATGTAAGTTAGCATAGAGCTCTATGCTAAGGGTTCATACGGATTTTTCCTTCAAACATTTTGAGGTGTTATCAACTCCGTTTTTTACTTTCTTTTACATGGTTGTGTAGCGCTTGTTTGTGGCTACATTTTGTCTGTTTCAAAATCACACAATATGCCGTTTATGCGAAATGAGATTAATTTTCATTTTTCTCTATGCTAAGCTCTATGCTAAGCTCTATGCTAAGGATCCATACAGATTTTTCTTTCAAACATTTTGAGGCCTATTTTTACTTTCTTTTACATAGGTTGTGTAGCGCTTGTTTGTGGCTACATTTTGTATGTTTCAAAATCACACAATATGCCGTTTATGCGAAATGAGATTAATTTTCATTTTTCTCTATGCTAAGCTCTATGCTAACTCTATGCTAAGCTCTATGCTAAGCTCTATGCTAAGCTCTATGCTAAGCTCTATGCTAAGCTCTATGCTAAGCTCTATGCTAGCTCTATGCTAAGCTCTATGCTGAACTCTATGCTAAGCTCTATGCTAACCTCTATGCTAACCTCTATGCTAACCTCTATGCTGAACTCTATGCTAACCTCTATGCTAACCTCTATGCTAACCTCTATGCTAAGGATCCATACGGATTTTTCTTTTAAACATTTTTTTACTTTCTTTTACATGGTTGTGTAGCGCTCGTTTGTGGCAATATTTTGTATGTTTCAGAATCACAAAATAGTTTTTTTTCTCATACCGCTTAGCATAGAGCTTAGCATAGAGCCCTATCATAAGCTCTATGCTAATCAGCATAGACACCTCTATGCTAACCAGCATAGACACCTCTATGCCAAAGACTATAGACGTACACCACTCTATCAAATAACTCGTGCTAGAATGCACCCAACGAGATCGCACACATCGTTTCCAATACCTGACGATAACCGTTATACATATATTGCTTAACTATACACTTTTACTTGCAACACCTATCTTTTACATTTCATACACATTTATCCCTCTGCATCTCATCTTTCCCACAAAATATCAGCCCCAAAACACTATTTACCCCACACTATATAGAAACACAATGTCGACAAACCATCCTTTCTTACTTTCCTCTTCTATTCCCAAAACTTCTCTATCAATTCCTTCAATCTCTCTCTATCATAACTTCCATACACAACTCTATGCTCTCGTAGCATAGGGCTCTATCCTAACTTCCATAGACAACTTTATGTGGACCTCAAAACGTCATTGAAATTATCACCAGATAATATGCTTGATTGCAAAATATTAAGTTTATTGAATTTGCAATAAAAGATCAAAAGACTAAAAGACTAAAAGACTAAAAGACTAAAAGACTAAAAGACTAAAAGACTAAAAGACTAAAAAAAAGCAAAAACTTACAGCACCTGGTATTCCCATGTGGTCCCCCACCATAGTACTGACCAGGCCAGACAGGGCTTGACTGCGGAGATCGGACGGGATCCGGTATATTCCCTGTTGTATGGCCGTAAGTTAAAGTAAATGTTGTATGTTTGATGCTGTATGGCTAATTTTTGTAATCCTCTAACAACAACTTCAAAAATCGACATAAAAAAAAGCCCTAGCCATGATCTTTCAAAGACCATGACTAGGGCATTCTCTCAAAAAACTGACATAAAAAAAAGCCCTAGCCATGATCTTTTTAAAAGACCATGACTAGGGCATTCTCTCTTCCTCTGAGCATTAGAAAAAGCTCTATGCTAACTTCCATAGGGACCTCTATCCTAGTCACCCTAGACCTCTATGCTAACTCACATAGGGGCCTCTGTCCTAGTTTACCCCAGACCTTCAGCCTCAGGTACCCTAGAGCTCTATCCTTAGATACCCTAGGACCCTATCCTCAGGTACCCTGGGGCTTCAGCCTCAGATACCCTGGGACTCTATCCTCAGATACCCTAGGGCTTCAGCCTCAGGTACCCTAGGTCCCTATCCTCAGATACCCTGGGCTCATCCTCAGATACCCTAGGCCTTATCCTCAGTACCCTGGGCTCTATCCTCAGATACCCTGGGCTCTATCCTCAGATACCTAGGCCTATCTCAGTACCTGGCCTATCCTCAGATACCCTGGGGCTCTATCCTCAGATACCCTAGGCTTTATCCTCAGATAACCTAGAGCTTTATCCTCAGATAACCTAGGGCTCTATCCTCAAATAACCTAGGGCTCTATCCTCAGATACCCTAGGGCTTTATCCTCAGATAACCTAGGGATCTATCCTCAGATACCCTGGGACTCTATCCTCAGATACCCTGGGACTCTATCCTCAGATACCCTAGGGCTTCAGCCTCAGATAACCTAGGGCTCTATCCTTAGATACCCTAGGGCTCTATCCTTAGATACCCTAGGGCTCTATCCTTAGATACCCTAGGGCTCTATCCTTAGATACCCTAGGGCTCTATCCTTAGATACCTAGGCTCTATCCTTAGATACCTAGGCTTATCCTCAGATACCTAGAGCTTTATCCTCAGTACCTAGAGCTCTATCCTTAGATACCCTAGGGCTCTATCCTCAGATACCTAGGCTCTATCCTCAGATACCCTAGGCTATCCTCAGATACCCTAGGGCTCTATCCTCAGATACCCTGGGCTCTATCCTCAGATACCCTAGGGCT